GGGCTATCGAGCGCTCAGAGCAGCCGACAGGATTATTGGACCATAATGAGCCATAACAAACATCACACAGGGGATTCACTCATGTCTTATACGTTTCCTGTGTTCTCTTTTGAAGATGGAAAATGACGGTGGATTTACACACCAATGTCTGGCGTGGATCTTTGATGTGTTTGCAGCCATGTGAACTCAACGATATGTTCATACAGACCCCACAAAACTGTTTTCCATCACACAATCAACAGCTCCAGAAGTTTCACTGAGAGGCAGATTGTTTTGCTTGTGTGGAGTTTGGATTTATTACATTGACTTCAGGTGACTTGCAGTCTCCTTTGTTGAAGACTCTGTTATAGAATCATTGCAGTTTTTCACAACCTAGGTATTTTTTGGTTAGTTTTGTCCATTGTTTCTATTATTATTATTATGAACAAAACCGTACTTCTCTAGTTAATATCTGAGCATGAGGTAGCATCACTAAAAAGATACAACAACCAGACAGGTTGGTCACAAACCAACAGTTTATCCAGATAATAAAATACTATATTGTTTCGAAGACAAATGTGAAGTAAAATCACCTAAAATCTTACTAATTATCCCTCATTGTACACAAACTCTGTTCATATGACTTCAGTTATTACAGGAGGTCAAAGTTAAAATGTGACCTATCATGCAAAATGCACTTTTGTACCTCTTTTATACATGAATATGTGTCCCCGGTGTTTCAGGGAACTCACCAAGTGTCAGAAAACACAACCGTCTCTCTTTTCCTCCATACCCAAATCTCTAAAAACGGGTCTTTAACGGATCTGATACAGACTGATCCAGATTTGAAATATCTCTGACGTCAGAAACAAGGTGCTCCGCCTATATGGGCCACTCTCCATACATCAGGGGAATGTGGGGTTGCCGTGGCATAGTAACAGCATGGTAACATGACGCTCGTGCCACGCCCCCCTCCTTTACAGGGGGGCGTGGTCAGCTGCAGCTCATTTGCCACAGAATCAGCCCTTGTGAAGACAGGGTTGGAATAGAGCTAATAGAGCGAAATGAGGCATGGCTAAAATGCATGATCTGTTATGTAGATGTTTTATATAGGTATGGCCCTACAATATATTGTTCAAATATAGCATGATAGGTCCACTTTAAAACAGGAAGTTAGTTTGTAAATTGTGATTTATTTTTACAACAGATCATTTGGGTCATAAATGAACAGTTCCCATACTTTTTCTCAAAAAAAAGGTTGTCTAGTTTTATTTTTGTTTCCACCTGTCTCATCGCCTGATTGTTTGTTTCTTCACCCGTATGACCTCTTCCCAGAGAAACCAGTTTTAGCATCATGTTCCCGCAAACACGGCTTTCCCCTAAATATGGAAATGTCTCTTAACCACATTCTTTCTCTTTCAATTCAGCTGAGGCGTTACAGCAAACACTGAGAGGGGAAGTTTGGACGTGTTTACTTTGATGTTTACGAATGCAAGCCGGGCTAGCATGCAAAGTGTGGCGGAGCGTCACCAAAGTAAGCTGTGAGAATCAAAATGTAATCACTAATGCATATAAACTGAAAGCAGGAGCGTAGGGTTTTTTCTGCAAGTATGAAAATGCACTGAGATACATTTTGATGTCCAGAATCATAGATGCCACTTTGTCAATCTCAACAGAAGATTTGTATTTATTGTTGTGTTTATTCTACCCAAAGTATTACAAAATATGTCATCCTTCATGATGAGTCATTGTTTGTGGCAGCTGAAAACCAAGCTTGTTTGTGCTTTCCACATATTTTCTTTCCTTACCAACAAGATTTTGAACCAGAATCTAAAACCAGAACGAATAAAAAACACGACCTCAGTCTTACAAATCTGTAAAAAATCTTCCCGATTCGTTCTGAGTGGCTCCACACAGAGCGTCATGCCTCCAGTGTACCAAAGAGCTGTTTACCTCGACGCCACATAACTGTCACTAAAGCAGAACCGAGCTAACGTGCCGGAGCTGTGACTGAAAACCCTCAACAACTCTTGCCACATCCTTGCGTCACCTCGCTGGCTGACACAGGATCTGGGCGTCGGGCTGATGACCCCGCAGGAAAAATAAATGTCTTGCCCACCAAACATAGTGGGTGGCACCTCAAAAACACTTTGATAATTAGATTTGAAGACGAGAACAGGAACATGACAGCTGCCAACAGGTTCCACTCACTTATGCCAAAACATCTACCAGCATTCGACTGTTGGTGATTTCCCGTCACTCCCCGTCCCTTTGATTGTTTGATTGAAGAGGTGGAACTGCTTTCTCTGGCTGGAAGCTCAGTGTGGGAAAATACTTTGTGAGCATTCAGAGCCAGGCGACATGTGGAGGCAGGTCCAGGCAGAGAGGAGGAGGAGCGCTCAAACTAAAACACTTCCTCTATTTATGTTGTGTTAGGGATTTTATCTGACGTTATTAATAAAGCTAGAACATTTAAGACTTTTTGAGGGTTACTTTAAAAACAAAAACATTTAAGATGTCACTCAATCTGTAAATAATAATTATTTCCATGTTTCAGTATCATAATATATATTTGTTTTGTTCTGAAAAAACTCTTTATCCATCAAATGTATCCATTACACATTTCCAGAGGTGACGTCCCTTTGTCTGACCAACAGTACAAAACTAGACAAATATTCAGTTTGATATGATAATACAATAAGATAAGAAAATAAAACTACAAACCCTCACACTAGAGAAGCAGAATACTATTTTTGGTGTATATTTATATTTAAAACAGTCATTATGTACCTAAAAGGAATTATGGACTACATTTTTCTGTTACTGAACTAAAAAATCAATAGTGTGGTTGAATCAAATAAACCTGTTTCCATCACAAATTAGTATGATTAAAATGTGTAGTTTCATTATTTTATAAAATATTAATATATCTTCACACCTACGGGTCAGGTTATCCTGAAACCTTTGAAATGTAATCTACACGACAGCATGAAACCTGGTCTCTTTGGTGACCTCCTGACCTTTCCTCTTGCACTAACTGGAGGCAGAAGTCCCCCTAGTGCAGAGGAAGCTTATATCAATGTCTTGATCTCCTTTCTGCCCCTTAAGAGAATGTACATTTTTATGACCTTGTGAAGTCACAGAATTTCATAGAGTACCACCTTCAGAATAAACTGTCTTTTCCCATGCTTTGAAATAAAGAATTGAAAGTGTGTTTGTAGTGAAGTTGTAGCTCCAGGTGGGTCAACAGCACAGTGACAGTAGGGGAGATTTCAGTATGCATCACTAACTTTGCTCTGGTTGCCATTTTACTTTTACTAACCCACCTCCACTACTGTCTCTCTTGCGGCGGATACATTGTTCCACCGCCCACCCCAAATCCCATCCCTCCGCCCCCAGCATTGTCCCATAAGCCCCGGCTGCAGCCCAGCAATGGTCCTGCCCATTGTTCCCATAGTGCTCTGCTGATATAACCCAAAGAAAAAGCACAGAAAGAAACAAAAAGGATGAAGCTGAGATCAGCATCAGAAAGGCTGAGACACCGAAAAAAGGGTTTAAAAAATGCTAAATGACAAGATAGGAGTAGGGAAAGGATTTTAAAAAAACACAAGGGCTTTAAATTAAAAAGAGAAAGGGGAATGACTGAGCAAACCGGGGACTCTCGGATGAAATGCCGCAGATTTGGCACGACTTTCCACATGCTAAGCTGCCATCAGAGCTCCAATAAACACGACTGACGCAGGCAGAGAGGCGGTTTTGTTTAGTTCTGCCAGTTTATAAAAAAAAAAAAGAAAAGGGAACAACAAAATCAGAAACCTCATTCTGCCCGACGACAGCTTCATTTAACATGTCAGTAACCAGGGTCAACACCAGGAATGTCCTACAGCCGGCCAAAAACGAGCCTTTATCCCCCGCCACGCTGAGAGGTCAGGGGATAACTACCACAACAACGCAGGGAAGAAAGGAGTAGGTGCCCTCGGCTATCCTCAATGCAGCGCCTCAACCAGAGCAGTTTGACCTCATTTGTAGTTCCAGGCAGGAAACCACAGCAGCCACTGATGAGCACATGAAACCCAGCCAGTGTCTGCTGAGGGAGCACCACAGGGATCTGGACTCAAACCAGAACAACTCTGAGGAGGATCAGAGAAAGAAACCAGCCAGCTCCATATTTGCTTTTAGTTCCCACAGGGACAATACACAGGAGATAGAAATGAAACCTCTCTTAGGAGCTCATAACGATCAGTCAAACCAGCAGATTCATGACTCAGGATTCTGGTATCAAAAAGGTCAAATGAAATAATGAAATTCAGTTTTAGTTGTAAAGGTTTACGCATCTAGTTGGTATCAACAGAAAGGCTTAAGGTGTTCAGGTAACAGTTTGAAGGAAAATTCTCAAAGCAGAGGAGGCTAATAAATGTTTCAGACTTATTCATCTTTCAACCTGATAACTCTTTAAGGAAGGACAAAAACACTTATTTGCACTATAGAACTTTTTCTAACAACTTCAATCCACATTCCAAGTCTCCTGACCTTTAAAGTCCCAAAAAGTGTTTTTTCTGTTATCAAAACTATTCCCAGCTGTGGGACTAGTAAAGGATTATCCTATCTTATCTTGTGACGGTGAAATATCAGAGAGATACTGATGCTTTCCCTGACTCACCGCCCGTCTATGCTGCAGATCTGATAAAGAATAAAGAAAGAAATCTAGAAAGAAAATCTAAATAAAGAAGTAGACCTTAAATAGCCTCAGCTGAAGGCAAACTATTTAATACCTTCAAAAATGTCCTTTCCGTTTGACTGATGAGCGGAAACTTCCTCAGTCAAACAGCAGAAACTGAATGAACACCGGAAACACAGCACATCTGTCTGAGAACTGATCGTCACATCCTGATGTTGATAAAGTTCTGATCCAAGTCTTTAGTCCAACAACTGAACATCTGGCTGACAAAGCAACAAAACATGTCCATAACCAAACTTTCTCAGACACAAAAAATGAAACATCCAAGCAAAAAGACAATCTTTTAACTCACCGGCCAAGCGAAGCTGAACGGCAGCACGATCCTGGCTCTGGCGTTGCTCTTGGCATTGCGTAAAGAAAAGTTATTTCCACCGAGCACGGGGGTGGAGGCGGTGCCGAAGCTGCAGGGCCCGGCCGAGGAGATCTTCAGCTGGTACTCCTTCAGGCACACCCGGAAGTAGGTGTCACATTCGTCCGCCGAGCATCGCCGATCAGTCACGTCCCGGGGTCCGTCGCAGCAGGCGCCGGTCTGCAGCTGACCGTTAACGTTCTGCATCGACAAAATCTGGAGCTCAAAGTGTCCCGAAGCTGAAGAAACCTGCAGAGAAAGGGACGGACAGGTGAGTTCAGAGGGAGGAAAGAATGAAGGCAACAAGTCTTTTAAAGTCCTCATTGGTCCAATTAGTTCTAAGAAACCATGAACCATCGTCAAGATCGACATGGGACTAAAGAAAGGTCCAGTTGTATAGATTCTGCTGATCTCAGGTCTATGTGTTAAACACCCAGATTCTTGTGTTCGTCTCTTGATTAGATTTGGGGTAATGTCTAAACCAACTAATTCAAATCTTCACTTGAACTGGATCTGACTGTCCTTGGTTCCCTTTTGGATCTGGTGTCTTTTGTTAAGAAAATATATTTATCCACATCGGGTTTAGGAAGGTTCCTGATTCAGTCTAAAGCGTCGGCCCAGTGAAGACATCTACTCTGCCCATGTGTTCAACTTCACTCTTATCTTGCAAAGAGATGCAGCGATATCTTGATGCACATATTGGATATCAGATGATTTTTTTACTCAAATAGCTAGATAGGGTTTCGGTGACAAATGGGCCAACTTGATATTGGAAACTATTTACATACATATATATTATATTGATTAAGTTGTCATTTCTTGTTATACAAAGCTAGGAGAGCCATGTTTGAGTCAAGCCTGCACACAGTGAGTCATACAGGTAACCTAACGCCACTATCAGACTGGTATTCAAAAAAACAAGTCAGAACGGGGCATCCATCATTTTTGAAATATCCAAAAACCTAACCAACTTCAACTACCATGGATGAAGGCAAGTAGCAACACCGTATGATGGGAACTCCTAAGAAGTCCTTTTCATTTTTAAACTCAGGTTTTTTCTCCTCAAATCCCCCTGAAACAGATCCAAACTGATTGGAGGAAATCACTACAGGCCGAGTACTACTCTGCATGACAGGTGTACAAAATTGTTGATTGGCCCTAAAAGTTACAAGAAATGCATGACAATCTCATATTTTTAAAATGGTTGCAGCTCTTCATTTAATCTAAATTATGTTTTATACAACCGTTACCCCAAAATACACCGTGAAATATTAAACTCTGGGTTTTCCCCTAGAATTTCACTAGTTTGAACAAAGATTAGACAAAACCCGTGAAGCTGTAGAAGAAAGCAGGCATGGAGACAAAGCAAAACTATCCACTAACTAATCCATTTGTTGATCGGCAGTAAGTAATTCGGCAACGATCAAACATCAAAGGAAAGCATTCATTTCTGACTCCAAACTCCATTTGTATATTGTTGTTGTTTTAGAGGCGGAAAAAGATGTAAATAATTCCACCTGGATGCTTTTTCGTAACAAGCTCTAAAACGACAGCTACATGTTCTGTACAGGAAGTGTAAAAATAACCAATGAGAAGAAAGCTAAACTTTATAAAAACAGGTGAAAAGTGAGAGCACATAAAGTCGCTGAATGAGTTGTGGTGTCACAGAGTTCAACTGCTGCAGGAAACACTGCTCTCGATACTTTTACTTTACGACTTCAGTGTTCCCTGCAGGATCTCTTTCACCCACAGCAGCCCACATTGAAAACTGATTACCATAAAGGAAAAGAAGGATTATGATTAAGAAAAACAAAGTCAATGTTAGTCCAATGATTGATTTTAACAACAGTTTGTGGCCAGTGCAACGCATGAGCCCAAAAAGAGAGTCCATGTGATCCCAAGCTGACCAAAAACAAATGGAATTTATATCCTTGTGGAGCTAGAGTCCCATAAAAAATGATTTATCGATGCACACAACCGTAAATGTGAATTAATGGTCCTTTAAATGCTGTAATTACAGCCTCATCTTAAATGTTAAACTCCTGAATCACTGATATCAGAGAAGACTGAAGAAATGTTGTGGGTTTTTTTACCCCTTAAAGTCACTTTTTTCGAACACAGGACAATTTCATGTGAATTTTAAGAATTTGTTTTGGTAATCCATTTTTATATTAAAGGATTGACTGTTTTCTGAGAGCTACACCACAAATTGCAAATACTTTGAAATCCAGATAAAGTGAGGATTTATCATGATATTCCTATAAGAGCCGACTTGAGAGCATTTAGGATATTTTAAGTAACTAAATGCAGCTCTTTGTGCCTTAAATGTTAGTTTCTCCAGGCACGTGTATATTAATATCAACACATTTGATAATGCATTATACGTTTGAAAAGTAAAGAGTCCAGCAAATTTCTACTTGACACGACTTTCTCTAACTTGGTGGAAAGTGCTGATTTATGAGGATGTCAGGAAGATAAATCAACATCATTTCATCCAGAACGTGAAGAATTTTTTGGTTGCATTGCTCAAAACCAAGCCAGTTGCTGTTTAAATATGACTCGAGTCTGGGGTACCTGTATGCGGGCAGAGAGCAGCAGGGTCTGCAGGAGCAGGACCGAGCTCCGCGTCACAGTCATGCCGGTGGTGGGGTGCTGCTTTTCGGCTGTCGGTGCTCAGTGAGAGTCGGTGCGTCCCTCCACTCCGGGTTTATTCCCCTCCGGATGGGACATGCACAGCTTTACTTCCCAGAAAAAACCTCCACAAATTCCTGACAGAAAATATGCGTCCCTCGTCCTTCCTGTAAGAGAACCTTTTGTCTGCTATTGTCCTGTTTTTTATGTTTTTGTATTACCACTAAACGCAGTAGGAAACCGACTTGTCTGCAGCTGAAGCGCGGACAGCACTTTGATCCGTTCAGAGGAAGGCTGGGTAATATCCACCAGAAGGGTGCGGGGCTTATTATAGACCACACCCCCTGGTGTATATTAATGAGCAGCGGTTTGTTTACAGTCAGTTCACATGGAGGTGCAGAAGTGCCTTCACGCATGGAGTCCAAAAAAAAACAAAGCTGACATGAGAGGGGTTTATCGTCGGAATGATAATTCTAGAAACCGAAGAAGAAAGTAAAGATGACTGTTTAAGTTATTTTTCAAATACGGACCCTACTTCTCACATTTCTGTAATATCGTCAGTAATGTTGGTGTCGTGCTGCTGCTACCTGTACGGTGGCTCCGAAGGGTCAAAAACAACTAGCTTTGAACTGAAACCAAAGGATTTTCTTTAAATTTAGCACATTATATTTGTATTATAAGCTTCAAAGTGCTGGAAGAAAAAGCATTTTTTGTAACAGTATGTGATGTCTTTTTACGACTTAAATGTGCGGACAATAAAATGTTGCAGGTTTGTTTGATGCATTTTAGTTTTGATGATATATGAAGTGGATATCTTGTAGGTGGATATACATTAAACTAAAACTTTAGGGGCTTCTTCATAAATTCTAAACCAACTATATATAATAAACTGTGCACAAAAAAAAAGCATATTATCTGAGGTGCACAAAATAAAACTATAGGTTTTTTGGGACCGTTAAACATTAAAAAAAAAAATCCTAATTTCAATGCTGTGTATAAAGTAAACAACTTTCAAAATAAAAGCCCTTAGTGATGTCACAAGTCATTTACAGATTCCTGCAGTTACTGTCAAAATAACCACCTGATGATCTCAATTTACATCCGCCACCTTCATCACTACCACAATCACCCTCATCATCATCATCTAGGTTTAACCTCATTTCAATTAATCCACTTTTACAAACTTAGTTTTTTCTTCATCCCTCGTGTTTTTAACATTTTATTTTCCTAATTTTGGACTTTCTTAGTTGTGCAAAAATCTCAATGTATTTCTGATCATTTAGAGCAGGGGTGTCAAACTCAAGGCCCGGGGGCCATATCCGGCCCGCGAATTCATTTTATGTGGCCCCACAAGAGCTTGCAAAAGATATGATATGTTTATTATACGATTACATGCCACTTTACAGAAGCGTGTTGCCCATACATGGAGCACAATGCATCTCAAATTTGACTTTTTTCTCAGAATTTGATTTTTTTCTTCAAAATATGCCTTTTTTCTCAGAATTTGCCTTTTTTTCCAGAATTTGGCTTTTCTTTTTAAATCATTTTGTGACATTCTCACTGAAGAGACTTGCAATTATTTGCCCTAGACTTCTGCTTTCAGACATAGTTAATTATTAAGTTATTACCCTATCCAATAATAATCCAATGCAGAGGCAATAATGTAATATGATACATTATTTTATATATATTAAATATATATAAATGTATTTTTATATTGTCTTAAAGTTACAACCGGCCCTTTGAGTGCAACCATAATGCTGATGTGGCCCGCGATGAAATTCGACCTGACGACCCTGATGTAGAGCGATCATGTTTAAAAGCAATAGACAGTAAAACACACACAGAATAGTACACTTTCAAATATCTTATTTCATATTTAAATCTTTTTTGTATTTATTAGAAAATACACAAAGACAGCACAACAAGGAGATTACTAAACATGTGGATAAAGGTACAAGTGTGATGAACAATGGATGTAAAAGTTGTTCCTCATTGACAGAAATGCACACACTAGAAAACGTGAGATAATGAGAAAAGATGAGATACATCTTATGTGAAATATGTAATGTTGGGAGTGGAGGAATGAAAGCAGGCAGTGGAGGAAGGCGAGGGAGGGAGAGGGGCGGATGGGAGGAGGGAGAGGAGGTTGAGGTGGTTGATGTTTCTTCATGAAATAGAGCCTGAGCGACAGAACAAAGGTAGCCTCCTCTTTATTCTCAAATTAGAGCAGCTGGGCTCTTTTCCCTGGAGGAGCCCCATGAATAGATTATTGGACTGTTGTCACTGAAAGAGAGACAAAACACTCCCCCCCCCACTCCTCCTCCCTCACCC